GGAGGAGGAGGATCAATTGTTCATATTACTCATCATTCACTACCTTACTCATTTAGACTCTCTCTGCAACTTCCAGCTTACTTAGCCATCAAATAATTATAGGAGACTCTAATACAAATATTTTCTTTCATAGTGTTCTTCGTGAACATAGGGACAAAGTTAGTTTGATCTAATTTTAAGTTGATCTTCAGGGACATTCAGAAAGCTACAGAAAACTTTACAACCGTTCTAGGACAGGGATCTTTTGGTCCAGTATTCAAAGCGACACTGCCAAATGGTGGAGTGGTTGCTGTGAAGACTCTTGGTGCCAATTCTAGACAAGGGGAAAAAGAGTTTCAGACAGAGGTATGATCTAACATTTTCGTGGGGGATGTGGACACTGATGTAGCACTATTCTGCTTAAGGAATCATTACTGTCAGACTGCTAAAGTCTCTCACTCTTGTTTAGAAATCTACTCTTGGGTTGAGGTCATGAATATTGTCTTAGAAAATGGTCACTCGCCTCTGACCTCACAAAGAAAATTAAAAGAAGTGACTTGAGTGAAATTGGTAGCACTCCTTCCATTCAAGAATAAGGTTCCACATTGGGATCAACATGACTAGTGAGAAAACTAAAAATGTGTGGTTGAGATTTATGCATAGGAGAGAATAATCTATACCACACATTTCTTTCCTTTAAAGGAAAGTAGAACCTTTGGCACAAACAAAAAAAGAAACGGGAACGTATTTTTGGCAAAGATGGAGTCCATAATAGAAAAGGGAGGGGAAACGAAAGCGTAGTAATTAGAATGGAGCTCCCTGATAGTATTTGGGTTCAATCTTTTTTTGTGCAAAGATGACGTGAAACTCGTGTAATCTCTATGTAATAAGTATTTGTTTGGCAGGTTACACTTCTGGGTAGGCTTCACCACCGTAATTTGGTGAATTTACTTGGATATTGTGTGGAAAAAGGACAACACATGTTGATCTATGAATTCATGAGTAATGGAAGTTTGGAAAATTATCTATACAGTAAGTAGTAAGTTTTGACTTTGAGACCCTAACTCCTTGAAATTTCTTTAATTTGTTGAATATTAAAATTGGGTGTTTTTGTTGTTACAAAAGTTATTTCCAAGATTGTGTAATCTACAATGTTCCAATTGTGTTTGTTAAGAGATAAACAAATACCCGGAAATGATTTTTATAAATTAATATATTTAGGTCCTCAATCAATGACATTATGCTAATGTGTTTGCTCACAGATGCAGAACAGGCTTTAAGTTGGGAAGAAAGACTGCAAATTGCTTTTGATATTTCACATGGCATCGAATACCTTCATGATGGGGTAGACTGGTTTATTCTTTAACCTCAGTTTTGTGTGATGAAATCTTGGAAACATTATATAGTCATTCAATGCTATTGCAATGCACAGGCCGTGCCACCAGTGATACATCGGGATTTGAAGTGTGCTAATATATTGCTAGATCATGCTATGAGAGCTAAGGTCAGTTTGCTAGACTGTTGATTTTATCCTATAATAAGACTACATATGACCCATGAGTTGAAACTCCCAAAATTGACCCTGAAAGTACGTAAAGCATATATTTATCTCGTCAATCTAGTTTGTTGTCCAGTCCATCGAGAGTGTATACTTTTATACCCTGCTATCAATTTTTCGCACA